GACTTCCTATGTCTAAAACAAAACTCAATTCTTTCCACAAACCTATCCCTAACTGCTATAAATGGAAATAACATCAATGTTCAAGTAAAAGAAAATCAAGAGCCATCTTTCATTTCCTTTTTCCTTCAATCGATCAATAAATCCCTCTGGTTCTACCTCCAAATCTATCCACTTTTTTCCATCTCCACTGCCAAGCCAGTGTCCCTGAAATAGTCTTTTGACTTCCACTCTGTTTCCTTAGAATTCATTAGTTACTTGCAACCAGTGTAAATTAAATCGTAAGATAACCCTGCTTAAAACGTTCCTCAGAACGAAACATAAAGCCTTTAATGACCTGAAGCCCACCTGCCTCTCCATCCTCAGCTCACACCACCGTTCTCCTTCTCTCTCCAGTCTAGGGTGCACCCAATGTATCACACCTTCTCCCTTAGAGGCTCCACATTTTCCATTCCCTTGGCTCAGAATCCCTGCTCCCCCACTGACTGCTAGCTATTTACCTTCTTGGCTTCTTTGCACTCTAAGATCTCCGTAGACATTTTTGAAAGTAGCTGCAACCCTTGCAACACTCTCTACAAATCACTCCCCCCTGCTTTTTATTCCAGTACTAGCAATTAAACCCAGGGGCACTCTACCACTGAGCTAACATACTCAGGTTCCCCCTTTTTAGTTTTGAAACAGGGTCTAAGTTGCTCGGCTAACCTCAAACTTGTGACCCTCCTGCTGGGATTATAGGTGTGCACTACCATACCAAGCTACTCTTTTTTTTTCTTGCATAATATGTATTACATCTAAAATTATTTTATTTGTTTACTGCTTCCTCCCAGTGAGTTCCTTAAGTGAAGGGATTTCTCTGTCTTGCTTGTTATTATCCCTAATATCTAGAACACACTAACAACATGCAGATACTCAAAATACATTTGTTGAATGAGTGAACTGACTTGATAAACACCACTGAAGCAGAGCATGGGTTTTCATCATATTGATTTTGACTATATAGCTTATTATACTTTAAATTGTATTAGTTTATTATGGATTATTAGTTTATTATATATAAACAACACTTTTACTGTGCTCCATCAGGACAAATTAAGATTAAATGAGGGGCTGGGGTTGTGGCTCAGTGGTAGAGCGCTTGCCTAGCATGTGTGAGGCACTGGGTTCGATTCTCAGCACCACGTAAACAAATTAAATAAACAAAATAAAGTTATATATAAAAAAGATTATTGATGTTTAAAAAAAAAAGATTAAATGAAGGGGCTGGGAATGTAGCTCAATGGTAGAGTGCTTGCCTATCATGTACAAGACTCTAGGTTCAAGCCCCAGCAACAAGAGGGGGAAAAAAGGAGACAAAGGAGGAATAAAACACCACTGCACTAAATCTTATACTTATTTTGGACAAGATTTGAGGGAAAAAAACACATTTAGCAATTGTTTTGGTGGACTAGAAGTGAGGGTGAGATATAATACAGCAAGTTATACTAAAAAATAAGAAGAGTGCACATTTTTAACCACTGCTACTCAGGAAGCTGAGGCAGATGGATCCCAGTTAGAGGCAGCCTTGGCAATAGAGTGAGACCCTGTCTTAAAATAAAAAGGGCTGGGGATGTAGCTCAGTGGTAGAGCATTACTGGACTTAATCACAATATTTTTTTAAATAAAAAGTTTTTAAAAAAATAAACACTAAGAAAAAAAGAAATTGAATTAAACAGAGAAAAGGGAAAGTTGAATCAATGGCTATAAAAGCCAAGCATCCCTAATTTCAAAATCCAAGTTCCAAAACCCTCCCAAATCCCAAATATTCCAAAATGTGAAATTCTTGAGTGTTGATATGAAACTTAAAAAGTTCTTTATTTTGGAGCATTCTGGATTTTGGATTAGGGATGCTTAACCAGGCAAAACCAGGCAAAACCATGAAATATGAAAAACTCCAAATTCTTAAACATTCTGGTCCCAAGCATGTTGAATAAGTAAATCTGTCCTAATAATTTTTAAAAATATTTTTTAGTTGTAGTTGGACATAATACCTTTTATTTTATTTTTATGTGGTGCTGAGGATCAAACCCAGCACCTCGCACGTGCAAGGCGAGCACTCTACCACTGAGCCACAACCCCAACCCCCTAGTAAAATTAACCTAGCATTTTGATATATAATCTTTACACTTCTCTCTTATGAAGGAAAATGAAGAGAATCTTGGTATTTGTTTGTTTGGTAGCAGGAATTGAGCCCAAGGGCACTTAACCACTGAGCCACATCCCCAATCCTTTTTAATATATATTTTTTGAGACACTCACTAAGTTGCTTAGGGCCTCGCTAAGTTGCTGAGGCTGGCTTTGAACTCATGATCCTCCTACCTCAGCCTCTCAAGCTGAGGATTACAGATGTGCACCACCATGGCTGGCAAGAATCATGATTTTTATACTGTATTTTAATTTGCTTTTCATCCCTATGAACAAAATACTGGACAAGAACACCTCACAGGAGGAAAAGTTTACTTGGGGCTCATGGTTTCAGAGGTTTCAGTCCACAGAAGATTGACTCCATTGCTCTGGGTCCACAATGAGGTAGCACATCGTGGGGAAAGGACCCAGCAAAGGAAAGATGTTCCATTGATGTCAGGGTCAGGAAGCAGAACATGGGGGAAGGTGGAAGATACACCTTCTCAGGGTGCAATTCTAATGACCACCTCCACCTCTACTAGCCATGCCCTGCTTGCTTACTGTTCACCCTTCAAATGAGGATAACTGATTTAGTTACAGTTCTCCTAATCTAATCATTTTCATCTCTGAATATTACTGGATTAACAGGAGCTTTTGGGGAACATCTCATATCAAAACCATAACATACTATTTATAGTATATAGGTTCTTAACCAGGAAATATTTCCATTTTTGTGTATGTGTGTGCACAGTACTAGGGATGGAACCTAGCGCCTAAGCTTTCATTCTACCACTGAGTCCATTTTTAAGGCCTATAACACTGCTTAATACATATCTAAGAACTTGTACCTATACTTTAATAGTATAAACATCAATAAATAACAAAGTGAGTTAGAAAGAGAACTTTCCATTAGATAGAAAAAACACATTTTCCCATATATTTCTATATGATACAGTGGTTCCCTAGAAGTGATCTTGTCAGTTTCAAATAGTTAAGAACTGAGCTGGGTGTGGTGGCACATTCACAAACTACTTGGGAGGCAGGAGGATCACAAGTTCAAGGCCAATTGCTACAACTTAGCAAGACTCTGTTTCAAAATTTTAGTAAGTTTTTGCTGGGCTCAGTGGCACACACTTGTAATTCCAGCAGCTCAGGAGGCTGAGGCAGGAGGATCATAAGTTCAAAACCAGCCTCGGCAACTTGGCAAGGCCTTGAACAACTTCTCGAGGCCCTGTCTCGAAATAAAATACCAAAAAGGGCTGGGGATGTGCCTCAGTGGCTAGGCACCCCCAGGATAAATCCTTGGTACCCCTTAATCTTTTCAAAAGTTGAAAAAGAAATTTTTGAAGGTTCAGTGGTAGAGAACTTGCACATCATGTGTGAGACCTTGGGTTGAATCCCCGATAAAAAAGGGGTTGGGGAGAAGAACTAAAAGACTGCTAGAAAACATATATTCTTCATAAACAGTCCTACAATCCTCACTTAGAGTCTCTGCACTTTCATTTTTATTTTTTTTAATTAATTAATTTTTTAGTTGTACTTGGACACAATAGCTTTATTTTGTTTATTTTTTTTTTTTACTTTTTATTTTTTAAATATTTATTTATGTTTTTAGTTTTAGGTGGACACAACATCTTTCCTTGTATGTGGTGCTGAGGATCGAACCCGGGCCACACGTATGCCAGGAGAGCGAGCTACTGCTTGAGCCACATCCCCAGCCATTGTTTATTTTTTAATGTGGTGCTGAGGATCAAACCTAGGGCTTCAAATGTGCTAGGCAAGTACTCTATCACTGAGCCACAACCCCAGCCATGCACTTTCATTTTAAATTAAATTCTAACATGGAGCTAACTAGTTTCTCAATGCACAGCAAATTATAGATGGCAAATTAGGATAGAGAAGACAGAAAATTATTACATTGAGAGCACACAATCTAACAGGAGAAAAAAGACTAAAGCACCTTTAAAAAATAAGTTACAAAAACTTAGAATCAAAAATAATTTTAAAAAGCATAGCTGGCAAGATTTCATTTAAAACAGTTATGATCTTAAAGATTTCAACTGCCTCTGAGATGATGAGTCTTAACAGGTCAACACTAATATGGTATTCAGGGTAGTGAACTACCCGAAATACTGAATTTGGGCTCAAATAATGATTTGAAATTGATTATTTTTATTTTGTAGTGCTGTGGACTGAACCCAGGGCCTCATGCAAGCTAGGCAAGCACTCTGCCCCTGAACTGAGAGTTCTTAATCCTGGAGTTAAATGATTTGATAGGCATTTATATTTTATTTAACAGACACAAGTGATTCTGATGTACAACAACCAGAATGGAGAACTACTGTACTAATATTCTAAAGAAAATGACATCATTCTTGAAATAGTGCTCAACAAACAAATAAGAATGTATTATGAGATGGGCTCAGTGGCATACACCCAAAATCCTAGTAGCTCAGAAGGCAGAGGCAGGAGGATCACAAGCTCAAAGCCAGCCTAGGCAACTTAGTGAGATACTGTCTCAAATAAAAAACTGGGGATGTAGCTCAGGGCTAAAGTGCCCCTGGGTTCAATCCCCAGTAACAACAACAATAACAACTAAAAAGGGAAAAAAAAGTACTATGACCTACAAATAGTTTCAATAAAACCTGTTAAAAGTTGAGGCATGTTAGAGTAACGTGGAGTATTCACTTTGGTAGAAAGGAATACTTCAAATCTCAAAAGGAAGAAAGGACGTTAACATTATATAAAGAAAAACACCTTACTATTTAAACTAAATAAGTCTGGGCACCAAAAACCTCTCTTCATACTGGAATCCTAAACAAAATATTCACACTTATACTCACCTTTCTGAAAAATCAGAGTCTATAAATTCTCTAGCCCGTTTTCTATCACTAAAAAGACAAAAAGCATAAACACAACACATAAATAAGCACAGCTTTATTTAATGAATAATTTATGTATAACTTGTCTAATTCTACACTGAATATATCCAAAGACAAAAACTAACAAATATAAAAAGTATAGTCACAAAATAAAAACAATCTTGGGACAAGACATGACAAAGTAGTCTTACATTGAAATGAGTTCAATGAATATTTAGGGAGGAGAACATTAGAGACCTAATAAATGAGGTTTTATAAAATACTTTTGTTTTTGATATGTGTATGTGTGTGTGTGTGCGTGCATCTGTGTGCATCTGTATGGATACATATTAACATACAGGTAGCTTAAAGGACTCAGCTGTCTGCTTGCTAAAATTCACCTGGTGCAGTAGCCACCATGTAAGTAAACAGAATGACTAGATGAGACTCTGTATTACCCTATAAGCAAAGATGAAACATATGGGTTTGATACTAAGAGTGGCGAATGAGTAACACATAAGAGATACTGATTGAAAGTCCCTGTGTTTCAAAGAATTAAGTAAAAACTGAATAAAATTTTTAATATCTTTGGCATTTTTCCCCTAGTTTATTTATTTATTTTTTTGGTTCCCTGATTTCTTTTCTGGTTTTTAAGGAAATAAGAATTCATAGGAGAAATTCTGAGTATAGCCAACATATAATATATAGCTCTTATTTTATTGTCTGTTAGTAACAATATAAAATATAATTTTCATACTTTCAAAGCAGCTAAATGTTGTAGCAATAAAAACAGTCTTATCTCAGAGTTAAAAAAAAAAAAAAATCCAAAGATTCAGTTTAAAGGTATCGTACTGCTTTTCTCTATTTAAAACAGGTTGAGCCAGAGGCAATTTATGTATAAGACACAAAATAAACCAAAATTGGTGATTTCAAAAAACATTAGTTTTTAAGAATTATACTAACAAAACAAGAACAGAAGACAAGGAAGCAATAAAAAGTCAGAGCTTTCTTTTTTTAAGGGACTTAGAAATAGTCACTTGTGCCATCTTACCTGGGGACCCAGCCAGTGGCTTCTGCGATGTGAGTCTGAGTGACCATTGCTGGTGCAGGGGTGTACGGGCTCCCAATCAGAACACTTCCTGAGCTGGCTAGTCTCTGTGGTGTGCTTATGATCTGTGAAGTCAGGAACAGGAAAATAATGCTGTTAATTACTGAGAAAAGCCTACAGGAGGACAATAATGTTGATATGAGGAGGAGACCTGGCTATCTAAAAAGCACCTAATGCCAGTCATCTAAAATATAAGCTATACCTATGATTTACTTATGTCCTAGGGTCTTAAAGTACCAGTATCCCCTTGTTTTGTGGCGGGGGGAACACTGGGGATTAAATCCAAGGGTGTTTAACTACTGAGCTACATCCCCAAACCCTCACCTTTTTCTTTTTCTTAATACCTGGGTTGTTGTTTTTTATAATTTGTTCTAATTTTTTAAAATATTTGTTCTAATTGTTTTGTTATACCTGACAGTGGAATGAATTTTGACATGTCATATATAAATGGAGTATAACTTCTCATTTATCTGGTAGTACATGACACAGAGCTATATAGGTCCTGTAAGCATATATGCACAAAGGGTAATAATGTCCAATTCATTCTACTATCACTACTACCCCTTCCCTTCTCCCCTCCCCTTTGTTTAGTCCAAAATACCACTATTTTCCACACTCCCTTTATTGTGAATCAGCATCCACATCAGAGGAAAACATTTGTCCTTTTGTTCTTTGGAATTAGCTTATTTCATTTAGCATAACATTCTCCAGTTTCATCCATTTATCAGCAAATGCCTAATTTCATTCTTCTTTAAGGCTGAGTAATATTACATTGTTTATATATGCCAGTTTCTTTATCCATCTGTTGAAGGGCATCTAGATTGATTCCATAGCTGAACTACTGTGAATTGAGCTGCTATAAACATTGATGTGTCTATATCACTGTAGTGTGCTGATTTTAAGTCCTTTGGGTATAAACTAGGGAATAGAATAACTGGGTCAAATGGTGGTTCCATGCCAGATTTTCTGAGGAATCTCTATACTACTTTCCAGATTGATTACACCAATTTGTAGTCACACCAGCAATATATGAGTGTACTTTTTCCCCACATTGTAGCCAACATTTGTTTTTGCTTATTTTCTTTTTTTTTTTTTCTTTTGTACTGCTGGGGATTGAACCCAGGGCCTTGTGCATGTAAAGAACCCTACTGACTGAGCTATATCCCTAGCCCCTGTTGTTGCTTATATTCTTGATGATTGCCATTCTGACTGGAAGGAGATGGAATCTCAGTGCAGTTTTAATTTGCATTTCTCTAATTGCTAGAGATGTTGAACATTTTTTTCATATATTTATTGATCAATTGTTATTTCTTCAGTGAAGTGTCTGTTCAGTTCTTTTGCCCATTCATTGACTGAGTTATTTGGTTTTCTGGTGTTAAGTTTGAGTACTTTATATATCCTGGAGACTAGTGCTCTGAGATGCATGTGGGAAAGATTTTCTCTCATTCTGTAGGCTCTCTCTTCATGTTATTGTTTCCTCTGCTGTGAAGAAGTTTGATTCCATCCCATTTATTAATTCTTGATTTTACTTCTTGTGCTTTAAGAGTCTTGTGAAGAAAGTTAGTTATTAAGCCAACATGGTGGAGATTTATGCCTACTTTTTCTTCTATTAGGCGCAGGGTCTCTGTTCTAGTGCCTAAGTCGTTGATCCACTTTGACTTAATTTTTACGCAAGGTAAGAGATGTAGGTTTAATTTCATTTTGCTACATGTGAATTTTCAGTTTTCCCAGTACCATTTGTTGAAGAAGCTAAAATCTTTTCTCCAGTGTATGTTTTTGGAGCCTTTGTCTAGTATGAGATAACTGTATTTATGTGGGCTTGTCTCTGTGTTTCCTATACTGTATCATTGGCCCACACATCTATTTTGGTGCCAATATCATGCTGTTTTGTTACTACTGCTTTGTAGTATAATATAAGGTCTGGTGTTCGGTTTTGTGTGTGTGTGTGTGTGTGTGTGTGTGTGTGCCAGGATTGAACTCAACCATTGAGCCACATCCCCAGCCCTTTTTTGTATTTTATTTATAGACAGGGTCTTGCTGAATTGTTTAGCACCTTGCTTTTTGCTGAGGCTAGCTTTTTGAAATCGCCATCCTCCTGACTCAGCCTCCCGAGCCACTGGGATTACAGGCATACGCCACTGCACTAAGGTCTGGTATTGTGATGCCTCCTGCTTCACTCTACTTGCTAAGATTGCTTTGGCTATTCTGGGTCTCTTATTTTTCCAAATGAATTTCATGATTGCTTTTCCTATTTCTACAAAGAATGTCATTGGCATTTTAATAGGAATTGCATTAAATCTGTGTAACGCCTTCTGTCTATCCAAAGGCATGGGAGATCTTTCCATCTTCTGAGGTCTTCTTCAATTTCTTTCTTTAGTGTTCTGTAGTTTTCATTGTAGATGTTTTTCAATTTCTTTTGTTAGACTGATTCTCCAATTTTTTTAAAGCTATTTTGAATGGGGTAGTTTTCCTAATTTCTCTTTCAGTGTATTCATCACTGATGTATAGAAACACATTTGATTTATGGTTGTTAATTTTATATCTTACTATTTTGCTGAATTCATTTATTAGTGCTAGAATGTTTCTAGTGGAATTTTTTGGATCTTCTAAATATAAAATCATGTCATCAGTAAACAGTGATAGTTTGAATTCTTCTCTTCCTATCTGTATCCCTTTAATTTCTTTATTCTGTCTGATTGCTCTAGCTAGAGTTTCAAGAATGATACTTAATAAAAGTGGTAAAAGAGGGCATCCTTGTCTTCTTAGAGGGAATGCTTTCAGTTTTTCTCCACTGAGAATGAGGTTGGCCTTCCCCAACCCTTTTTGTTTTGAGACAGGGTCTTACTAAGTTGCTTAGGGCCACAAACTGCTGAGGCTGGTCTCAAACTTGCAATCCTCCTGTGTCATTGGGATTACAGGCATGTGCCATTGTGCCTGGCAAAGCAGAAGTACCTTAAATACTGATGAGGTAAAAATGTACATTTTAATAAGTGAATCCGGAAGTATTAAACTGACAACTTACAATGTCTTAGAAAAATGAAAACCTTTCTTTGAAATTAAGAATACAAACTACAGTAGAGCTTGATTTACTAGAGCCTGGAGAATAACAAATCAGATCTTCAGAGTCCAGTATAATGCAAAGATACTACACAATGTAGGTTAGTACATGCAAAATTTTCTCTTGCTTCTTCCACAACATTTCCTCATGTTATTAAATAAAACATTCCAGTGTATGGATTATTGTTCCCCATTATTATTATATATATGGATTTTCAATTATTCAATTATAGATTATTCAGTTAAAAATCTTAGCCTTAATTTCTATTTCCTAAGACTATATTCCAGAAAGGAAATTAATGGAATAAAAAATATTTTATTTTTTAAAATGAGTCCTTAGGGCTGGGGATGTGGCTCAAGCGGTAGCGCGCTCGCCTGGCATGCGTGTGGCCCGGGTTCGATCCTCAGCACCACATACCAACAAAGATGTTGTGTCTGCCGAGAACTAAAAAAAAAATAAATATTAAAAATTCTCTCTCTCTCTCTCTCTCTCTCTCTCTCCCCTCTCTCACTCTCTCTTTAAAAAAAAAATGAGTCCTTAATGTGTGTTACCAAATTGTTTTCTAGATTTTATAACAATTTTCACTGGTGAAGAGAACATGTTTTTTCCAAATATGTTTATAAGAACACCAAAAAATCTGGCAGCCTAATAATAGCTTTCAAAGTACTTTCATAAAAACAAATAAATAACGCATGTTCCAGTGAAGGAGGGCACTAATGAAAAAAGACTGGCCCTATGTGAATAACTAATGAAGCAGCTGCTGGGCACAAAGGTTCTATTTTTATAAAATTTTGAAAATTTCCATAATATTAAGGTTTTGTTTAGGTTCTACTTGAGATGAAAACATACGAGTTAAATATAATTGTTAAGTAACTCTTGCAAAAATTTCTTTTTTTCACTGTGTCATATAAGTCAAATGCCAATTAACTTTTGTCTGCATAATAAAAAAAAACCTGTCTGTACATCCAAGGTCTATAGTCATTATGTTAGTTGTTAACTTACTCCATAAAGGACCAAAGGGAAGAATTCAAAGGCATTTCAAGTTCTTCATTTGCTATTGAGGTAAAGACTCAAACAATAACCTGAACAGTAATACAGTTCAGACTTCATTATTGAAATCCAGTCAACATTTATTCATTTACTAAAGTATTAGGAACTTCAGTTAGGTTCTGTTTGTGTTTGGCATTATGCCAACCTGGGACTAGGGAGATGTTAATACTTACAGATGTTCAGAACATAATTTGAGTAAGTTAATTCTGGAATTAAAAAATAAAAACAAAAAGACAATAATACTGGCAGATGTCTAAAATTATTATTAGCAATAATAATTATTATTATTAATAAGATTATTAGCAATACCAAGTAAGGCATCCAGAAGCTTGTCTCAAGAGAATGTGAAACTAGACAATGTATTGGTCACACATTCTAAGTATGCTTTATCTCCCACTCCTCCAAGTATCTGAGCTCACTTCCCTACTTCCCGTCCAGTTCCAAGACTTGAAGGGAAGACAAACTGCCTTGCTAAACTGTGTCCTTTGCAGGGTCTAGCACAATGCTGGAGGATGCTCACAGGAAAGGCACAATAAATATTTACTGAACTGAGACAAAAATTTTATAACAATTTTCACTGGTGAAGAGAATATGAGACAAAAGACCCAACTTTTAAACTGATAGGGGATAAACCAGGTTCTTTGTTCACTGACATTCTAGAACTGATTATGTAAAATACAATAAGAAACACTATAATATAAAGAGCACAGTTTGCATGCTGACTTTGGGTACAAATAGCTTAAAAAGAAAGATTTGAGTATTTGACTAGTCTCTTTTCTATTCTATTCCATTCCTAGAGCAGAAATCTTAAGCATTCCAACTGATCTGTTAAATAGTTTTATTATTTGTACAGAATTATTACTAAGGAGTTCTCTTTTCTATTACTAGCCTACATGCTTGATTTTTCCCAATAAAAAGGGCTTTGGGGGATGGGGGCGAGATGATGAAAAGAGGATG